CAGAGCAAGTGTGGTCCAGGCTTTATTGGGGTCAGACAGGGCTGGGCAGCTGCCATGCTGGGGACCAGAGCCAGCTCACCAGGTAGTACTGGAGTTGGGGCAGTGCAGGAGAGCATGGACTCAGTCATGCTCCTAAAAGCAGAGCTGAGGACTGTCTGGTTGGATTTAGGATAGGGATAAGGAAGGGGAGCTGTAACGAACAGTGGATTTACTAGACAAGGGGTTGATTAGGAGAAAAGGAAGGCAATGAGGCCTTGCAGAGGAGAAGGTTGTGGAAAGAAGAAGGGAATGAGAAGACAGATGCCAGGATGCTGAGAGTTAGTTGTGCCCCAGGACCCAGAACAGCAGGGGCAACCTTGGATCCCCATTTAATCTTGTCATGACAGTTTACTATTTTTTATTCCAATGGGCCATCTTTGCAAAAATAGGCCTGGGGAGGAAGCGGCTGGACTTCATGTAGTCAGAGATCTTCCTCAGGCCCTGTGAATGGGAGAGAGAAAGCGGGAGCTCAGGGCTACTGCCCCATTCCAGGAGCAGTCTTGCCAGGAGGGTTCAAGGGCTGAGCACAGAACAGTTGGCTCACGTTTGAGCTCTGGAAGGAAACCAATTTCCTGGGACTTAGGGGACACTGAATGCAATGTTGAGGGTTTTATTTCATTGGAAGTTATACTCAGTTACACTCAATGATCCCACAAGATTAATTGTGCAGAATTTATCTGGAAGGAATCCAAGGTGCAGAGAAGTTAAGGGACTTCCTCATGCTCACAGAGCTGGTACATGGGAAAGGGCTGGATGGAGCCTGGCCCTGTCTATCTAATTCTGTGGCCTCTCTGATACAATCTCTTTTCCCCTTTTCACAGGAGGCCCTGACACTCTTTATCTGCACAAATCTTGCACAGCCAGGCTCCTTCTTGCCTCTATTTGCCCAAAATCTAGTAGAACAAAGGGGTTGGCAACATGCCTTTACAGTTTAATAGACAGAATAGTGACCCCGTGACTCAGCAAATCCTGGGTATAGGTAAACAAGGAGAGGTGAACCACCAAGAGAAGTGCTGATCAGCTTTCATCATTCAACCAGAGCAAAAACCCCAAACTCTGAAACCTGGTACGTGACTGAGCCCCGATTCACCATGTGCCTACCTACCTCATCTTTGTCCCTGCTAGAGGAGACTGGGTTGAATGACACTTGGGTGTGCTGTGTACTATCTTTTGAGGATTCAGTGCCCACAAAATGTGAATGGATTTAAGATCCTGGGCTACCTCCACAGGAAAAAGCTAGCAGTCCTCAGGTTTCGGCCCTCTCATGTCCTCTACCCAGACCACCCTACCCCACCCCAACAGTCCTGTCAGTCCTTGCACAATCCCTGAAGCCACTCACTTTGACTCAGCCTTGTAGGAATATTGTAAAAATAACTTTGATGCCATAAATAGAAGATGTGAGTGCAGGTCCTGGCATATAAAGACAGTGCTCAATAAATGCTGGTTACTCTTCCTTCACCTTCAGGACTAGGAAAGCATCAGAAAGGGAGAAGGAAAAAGGACATTCAAGAATGAGGAGGAGCAGGGGCATCACCTCAAAGCGGGACATGAAGTCCTTCAGGTTTGGGAATGCATCAAGGCACTTGGGTTCAAACAGACGGTGTTGGTCAAGGACATCATAAGCGATGAAATCCACAAAGGTGATCTGCAGAAAGACAAGAATGAATGGACACAAAATTCTGTATCCTGGAAAGAGTGATACCTAAAGATTTCTTTCTTTTACCTTGTCCCCTGCAAACCATGGGTGCTTCCCCAGGAACTGTGAGTAGAGCTTCATCTTCTCAGGCAGGGTCTCCAAGTACTCAGGCTTCTTTTTCTCCTGAAACAGAAATCAGCTGTCACCACCCTCAGAAAAGGGCTCCCTGACAGAGAGGCTAGTTTTGCCAGTGGTGTCCATGGCCCCAGTTGCCAAGGCTGAGCGGCAACTTCCCACAGCCTGGGCCTGAGCCAACACCCATTCCCTGCATCACTATTTCTTAGACTCCTACTTGGTAGCATCCCCATCTCTCAGAGTGATACAAGTCAGACAGGAACTTGCAGGCCCTGAAACTGCACCACTCATCTTCACACCACTTCCCATGCATCAGACCCAGGAGAATGGGAGTACCTGGCAGGCTCTGGAGTCAGATGTTGAATAGATTCAAAGAAGCAAAGTACTAAAAGATCTCAGAAGAAAAAAAAACAAAGTTCTACCTAGTGGGGTAAAAAGGTATAAAATGAATATTTGAGTAGGGCATAAGGTTGGGAAGTATTTGAAGGAGGAAAAGGGACAGAAGGAAGGAAAAGGGTCAGCCCTGGCTGACCCTGAGCTGTGTATTAAGACAAGGTCCTGATTCATGCTGGTCTAGAGGACACAGCATGGGGGAAACATATGGCAGATGCCCAAAGACAAGGATGCATTACAATCCCCCACCTTGTGATTTTTTTTCTCATGGTTTTCATAGTGTTCTAGTAGCAGGCAGATAGTATGAACAGCTAGGAGAGAAAACCTATAGCAGGGATTAAAGGTCAGAGATTAAAAGGATCCTAAATACCAACTCTATGTTGAGGAACTGAATTTCCAATCTATAATACCCTAAGTTTGGTGGCAATTGACTCACAGTGTTTATTTGATTATATTTGGGAATTCTGGGGGTCAATTTGTTAAGACAAATAATTCCTTAGAGAATCAGTCTTGTGGACCAGTGTAGATGTGAACCAAAGAGATTAACTCCTATTCCAATGCAATGATCTATGCAATGGGTGACTCACAAAGTCAGGGCTGTAGCAGATCATGGCAAGCTGTATGCGAGTGTCCATAGCCTGGTTCTCCAAAATGTCCACACGAGTCTTCTCCTCTTCTGTCTCCCCACCTGCAGTCCACACAACAGAGGTACACCCTCAGCCTCCAACCCCAACCAAGCCAGGGACATGGCCACCCTCCCCCACACCCTACAGCCAGCCCCACTCACACAGGTTGTGCTTGCGGGCAATGTAGCGCAGGATGGCGTTGCTCTGGGTGATCCTGTGAGGCCCGTCAATCAAGTAGG